TTTGGGTTTTATTTGGAGGGTGAGTTTTGTTGTTGGCTTTTTTTTTGGGGGTAGGGGAGGGTTAGGGTCGTAGGTTGTTGTTTTTGTTGTTTGTTTGTTTTTAGGAGGGAGGGGTGGCTAAAGCCCTTGGTGTGTCTTAGTGGGTAAATTATCCTTTCCTTCGCAACAGTAGTGCCGTGCTGTCAGCTCAGTTGGCATCATACTGGACTACGGAGGGGATGACCCTGTTTCGAATTACCGTCCAAGCGTTCTGAACTTGGGTTACTTTGTGGACTTTTTAAGGTTTTCCACCCTTTTCAGCCGGTCCTATCGGAAATGAAGGTTTAATTGGATGCCCGCCTCTTATATAACCTTATAGTGTTGAAAGGGGTGTGAAACCTAAACAATTTCGCCTTTTTCCCCTCCTTCACAGTAAGCCTAATACGCTCTTCTGACGATCATCTCGGTTCACGCATGCGCAGACCATTGGGTTGCTTTGTTTCTGGTAGTTTCTGACTGTTATACAGCCAGTCCTCTCCGGATTACCAAGTTCAGGTACCCACTGAAAGCTCTTTTATTTGTGCAGCTGAGAAAAAAAAACTAAGGATTACCGACAGGACTTTGATAATTGAATAAATGCTTTCTTCTAGCCAGTCACATGGAGAAATAGTACTTTTTATCTTCTTTTTTTTTTTTTACACAACTCTTATACTTTACTTTATATTCTTCCTTCTGGATCATTAGTATCGATCAGAGACACGTACCACCCACCCCCTCCCTCGGGGGGGGGGGGGGCAGTGCCACTGACTGAAGTGTCTTTAGGCCATTCCCAAAGGGAGGACATTAACCATGTTCTTTTGCAAAGTAGAAATGTAATGGTAAATGGGCTGATTCATCAATGCAATGCTCATAACTGTGCCTGAACTGCAACAGGTAACTGCTGCATATCCTTCCTAACCATCACTATCGTCATTTTTCCTCTACTTCTTTTGTATGTTTGTCACACTCTTGTGACCCCCTATTTCCGGCGTGCCTTGATAGTCGAAGCAGACTTTGTGCTGTTGAAGCTAGAGAGGTGAGCAGAGTACGCCTGATTCCCTGTAAAGACTTCTCTGTTGACATCCACCCCTTGGCGCTCATGTGACCTTATGCAATTGCGAGCGCCGTAAAACCTCTACTAAAACTAAAATAAAAAGACACCTACCATTGACGGAAAATCAATTTTGAAACTGAACGTAAGCCTGGCTAATAATTTTCGATATCAGAAAGTGTTGTTAAACTCGTTTAGCTAAGACAAATTAGAGAAGCCAGAAAGCGGATGGTGCACTGCTCCCTCCTCCATATATTTTTTTTTTTTTTTTTTTTTTTTTTGAAATTTTTTTTTTTAATTCTTTTTTTTTTAAATTATTTATTATTATTATTTTTAATTTTTTAATTATTTTTTTTTTTACATAGGCCTACGCACTCCCGTCCGTAGCTCTAAACTCTGTTCAGGAAGGATGCCAAACCGGCTGACGTTGGACTTTGCGAGCTCAATATATAGTATAATAAGTATGATTCAGTAAGGAATAGAGAGCGCCCGTCGTGTACACTAGAAAAGTAGCCAAAGTCAAGGACCAAATCACACCCACTTATTAATTATACATCAGGTGTCCACTTCGCAAAATGATAACACGCCGACAATTATGACGACCGATAAAGTATAATATAATCATCTTGACACTCACCCCTCCCCATCAAAAACACAAACGCACGCACACGCACACACAACACACACACACACACACACACACACACACACACACACACACACACACAGAGAGAGAGAGAGAGAGAGAGAGAGAGAGAGAGAGAGAGAGAGAGAGAGAAATACACGCACATACACACATTCTTTAAATAATCTAAAAGCATCTCAAAGATTCTTTGAGCATCTCTCTCGCATGACGTCACGGCGACCAAACTGTGACCGGAGATTACTTTTTTGTCTCCGCTGTGACCAAACTGAGAGTGGAGGCCCCGGATGTGAGTAGTGGGTCCAGTTCACTGACCTAAAATATCTTTTTAGGTCAGTGGTCCAGTTAGTTCCAAGAGGAGGGCTCAATTGTAATGTTACCGAACGTTTTCGCTGTTCTGTATTTGACGTAATATCTTCTGTCACAGCTGCATCAGATGACACGTTCCCCATAAACTTTTTTGATAAACCAGCTCAAAGAGAAAAAAACAGACAAAAAATGAACAAAACAAAGAAACAAGCATTGCTGTATCTTCCTTTGAAACGGTTCCATTCTATTCTTTTTAACTTGTTTAGACATGCAGAAGTAAAAGCTGAGGAGCCTCCAGTTGAAAAAAAAACCACCTATTGATGGCCTTAAAATAACCCACAGCACTTGACCTAGAGTGTCAACATTCACAAAGAGTGTATGGGGTTTGTTATGCAAATTCGACCCGTATGAAGTCACAATGAAGTGTGAAACTTTGCGACTCCCGGTGAAACTGAGACAATTCATAGGCCCGGGACCAAAGTATCCTATGCAATGTTTTAAAAGGCTCAAAATGTGACAAACTCTTCTCTGCCAGAATTGGTTTCACTGGCCATAGCAAACGCCATAGGTCTCCTATTACACTTCTTTCTCTAAATCAAGAAACATTCTCCTCTGCAGATTCGTTAGTCATCGTCCCACATTAACGGAAGAAACGAGTATCGTTATTGTCGTGAAATAATACCGCTGCTTGAGGAACCTTTTCGCTTGGTAAGAGGCCTGTGAGACGCGAGGTTGTTCACCTTACGCCACAAGCAAAAAATAATAAAAATTCTGAGGTGGATATGGAAGAAATCGGGGGCTCTGAAGAGTGCAATGTCCGTCTCTATTATTCTTTTAAGACAGGCCCAAAAAAAAAGAGAAAGAAAATACCAAACAAAATATCCACCGACAAACATGACGTATAGGTCTACGTAACCTCTTAAAATCTAGCCTAAGTGCGGAACTCTACTGGACTGATTTTTCATCCACTTACTGCATACTTCTGACAGTCCTGACGTAAACCACCTTGTCAATCACGTGTGTGGTGATTGGGGATTTTCTGGAGATTCTAGGGAACTCTGGGGATTTGCTTCCTTTTTTTTTTTTCTCTTTTTGTCTTATTTCCTTTCATTTATGTTATGTGCTTTTTTAAAAAGGTTTTCTTGTCGATTTTCTGGTCTTCCACTTGTGGTTGGGGGGGGGGGGGGGGGGATTCGCTAGTGATTTGATGTTGCTGCTGTTGAAAAATAACGGAAAACTTGTGACCGTAACAACAAACCTAGCAGTAGCAAGATGCTAAATTACTCGGCATCCCATATCACTTTCGGGGGTAAAAATTCGTCACAAGGAGTCTATAGTCTTAGTGTAAGTGTACCCCCCCCCCCCCCAAAAAAAAAAACCACCCTCAGGTCTTCGCACAACAAAAAGATCACACCCACCAAACCCACTGTGGCCCTACTTTGACCTCGGCCCTGCAAACAAGGTTTGAAGCGGTCGAAAGGTTGGAGTTGGGGTGGGGTCAACTTTACTTTTACCTAAATTTCCCATGAGCATTGGAGACAGACAATTTTTTGTGTCCATAATTTGATTATGAGAATCAGCAAAGTTTACATGCTTACCCCTCCCCACAACAAAATGTAGAGGAAGCAGGACTGGCCTTACAAGTACCGGGAGTGGTGCACTGTTTAAAGTGCTTTATATCTCTGTAGACTAACAATACTGAGCACGATTTCTCTTTATTTGGGAAGTTGCAAATTTTGGATGGAAAAACCACTTTAGGAAGCGCCCGTCTTTCTATTTCCAACTAGCCTACCAAAGCAAGTTCTGCGTTTGCAATTATACAGAAGACATCCATACTTTTTGCCCTTATCTGAGAAGTCTACAGGATATGTTCTTGTTGGACCTAATGACGTTATCTACGCTCCTTGGTTGGACCCTATTTCTCATAGGACCACAGGTGTGGGGAGAAAAAAAACTAGTTTCAAAATGCTGGAATGAACCGGTATCAGGCCTGATACCTTAAGTCTATTAAGGAAGCCCCATACTCGTATACATATGAGAATCTGAATGACGTCGGAACAATGTTTTGCACCATGGTTCTGGTTTTGTTAGGAAGTCAAACCTGTGTAAGACGGCAACCCATTGTCAAGGAGAAAAGTGGCCGTAGTATAAGACAGGTGGCCGTCTTAGGCAGGACTGATCAAGATGAAGAAAATAAACCCCATTCCCAATCGAAAGTAGCCGCACTGTTGGAGTTTATGTTGTTGTTGTTGTTGGTGGTGGTGGTGGTTTGTATTTTGTTTGTTATTTTTATTTTGATGCTGATTTTGTGCAAGGGTGACAATAAAACGAAATGTGTCAGACAAGGAGGACCGAGTGCTATGGTAAAACAAACATATGGGTGGCCACCACTCGAAGAACGAGCGACGCTTCTGTCACAAGTCCATGTTGACGTCCATTGTTACTTTGTTACAGACTGGGTAAACAGTGACCACTCATCTCACTTACGATTTGTGTATGAGTTCTGGGCGGGGCTTATGGGTTATGAGGGATCACACGCTTCCCTCACCAGCAGCTGGAAATTGCTACCTATTGGTCAACAGTGGGAGGGGCCTACGCAACATGATCGGTTGGAGGGACTACCTAACAACAACGACAGGTGATTAGATTATGACGGCTCGCCCACAACGCCAGGAGTCAATGCACAATTAATGACAAAACGTAATGAATGGGGTCACTAAGGTGGCCGTCTAAGACAGGTGTTATTGCTTAGTGTGATAGGGGTTGTGTGTTAAAATATGATGGCCGCGGCCGCGTTGGACAGGTGCCTGTTTTACACAGTTAAATTATATAGAAAAAACACAAGGGGGGGAAATGGAAAGTGGACGTTTGTACATGTGGCCGTCTTATAGAGGTGGCCGTCAGGGCAGGTTCGACTGTATTATTAATTAACTCGTATACAATGAGGAAATGGAGCAGAAAGCAATGTATAAACAAGATAGGGTTTTTAAACAATTTTATTTGGACAAAGTAAAAGCATCAAATTATTTCATTTCAGTAAACAATTATGTCTAAACACAAAAATTATCACAGCATAGAATACTCTCCTTTTTATGTACAAACTGGTGTTATTTTATAACTTAAGATTTTCATGCACCTGTAATTGGCAATTCACATGAAATAATAGGAATATTGAACAGGTGAACTCTACTTGTATCTTATCCACATTTTTCTTTTTCTACCTCCTTAAATTAGAGTCTGTTCTTTGCGACATCTCATGTACTGTGAGCTGACATTGATCAGCAAATTTGTAACACTTGTCTTTTATTCACCGACAGTACCAATTCTATAGCCATTCAGTCCCTTTCATGCTTCCCTTTCTTGTGTGAAGATCAATAGCTTATTTCAGCTGAAACATTTGGTGGCGCTTCCATGCTGAGTAATAGGTCCTGGCAGTTAAGGAAAACCTTCACACAGTCACTTTATACATCTCAAGAAAGATTACTGAAGAGGTTCTATGTGCTGTGTTAAATGTGGATTTTTTTTAAAGTTTGAAGACATTTAACTCATGCACCAAGCTATGGCCTTTTCATCACAACCATCATTGTCAATCATAAAGCTATTTTCAACTCATTTTTCCCTCTGATTAAGAACTGCCCACAATGACAAATGAAAGGCTTTCCTGTTTCCCCACACATATTTGTCAACAGAAGGAGTAGGCCTATAGATTTTCAGACTTCTCAAATAACACAAGGAAAACAAAAAGCACTATCAACAATTATTCAAAATGTGAGCATTGTCTTACAGTCATAGATATTATTATGTAGGTTGTCCACTATCAAAAGACATAACTGAGGTGAAAACAATGATGTAATAATATTTGAATCACAGGCTAAAACAAAATACTCAGGCAACCCACCAAAGCCGGGCCTACTTGCTCTTCTTAGAACTTGGAGAGGCAGGTGCATCCTCTTTCTCCCCATCTTCTTCCACTTCTTCTGGTGGAGGTGGGTTTTGTATAAGAGGGAATGTAAATGGGGAGTGCTGTTTGAGACAACTTTTCTCCTCCTCTCCCCATCTTCCTTCTTCCTTTGGCTCTTCTGCATCCTCTTTGCCCTCTGTGCCGTCTTCCGTTCTAGCAGATTCTTTCTCTTCCTCGTCCTCTTCCTTAAGGCCTTCTAGTTTCTCCACCACTTTCTCTCCCCCAACTTGACTTTCATTTTGGCCACTCGGAGTCACAGTGTTGGAGTCCTCTTGAGTCACTTCTGTTGGTTCTAATTCCCTGTAGATCTGCAATAAGCGATTCAGTTTACAGGATCTTTCCCCTCTGCTTGGACCACCAAGTTTGAGAAATCGGGCATTCAGACCAACAGCCTGATAGAAGAGAAAGACAAAATTCAGAAAATCGGGCAAAATAAATGTTGAAACAATCAATACAAGCTTTGCCATCTGAAAAAGATACACAAGTTAACCTATTATATGGTAAACTTTGCATACAATTTAAGTGGTCCCATCCATTAACAGTCACAAACAAACCAGAATATTATTAGAGTAGCTAAACAGGATTCTCTTTGTATGATAATGAATGTTATTCTTCACAGTTTTCAGAAAAGGCAGGGTCACAAAAAAAGACAAGATAATAAACGAGACAGCGTCCATGATAAGATAAAAAAGACTGGAAACAAAAAAAAACTTACAAAGTCCACAATGAAAGTGTCAGTTGTGTCCCCTTGAGTTGTGGACAGGATAATTTCATTGCTGAGATCTGTAAAGAAAAAGGAAGAAAGGTCAGATGAGTAAAGAATTACTATTCAGTTCATAAATAAGCATTGTCAGAGGAACTCGTACCCACAAAAATATAAATCAAAACAAACTAAACTGCTGGGTAACAAATAAAATAATAAAACACAAACCCAAAGAATAGAAAAGGGAAGGACAGTTGAGTCTGCAAATCTCTTGCAGTAATGAGTCTTCAGTCTCCACCACCAACTCAGCATACACTGCATTACATATCAGAATTTGGCACACAAAAAAACAGCCAAAAATCAAAAAGAAGTCTTACCACTGATTAATAGATTCTATGTAAGGCAGCGTGGTGAAATCAGGTGCTTTTCAAGATAATTAAACCAGAAAGCGACATATTTTCCGCTCGTTTGGCAATTTTTATTGAATTTTTGTTTACTGGCTTAACACAATTTATGTTTATTCAAAAACACATTTCTAGGTGGATTTTACTTAAAAACATTGATTAAAAGCAGATAAAATGAAACTTTGCAGTTTCTAAGGACTCTCAAGCTTTGGAAGTAACCTAACTTTGGCACCCTATTTCTCATTTATTTTGTCTCTGAAGCCTCCACCTGTTTCAATCACAAATATTTCGACTTTCATTCAAGACAAATGAGTATTTCTTTCATCGAAAGCAAGACAAAAAACAGGCCTTAAGATAACACCAAAAACTCCACAAGCCCAAAAACTGACGAGCGCCAGTTATATATAAATATTTTGCTTCCCTACACACTTAGAGTGCATGACATCCCTGATTCAAGCAACGGTGCACACTTACATAACCAGAAACAGCTGGTTGACTAGCAGCAACATGTATATATTATGTCTAGATTTTTGTGGTGCCTTCAATGGAATTTTAAAGATATATATCAACATTAAACCCACAGCACCTGATTATCAATAGGATAGGTCTGCTTTATTTGTAAAGGTTGAGCCACCATGCATGACTGTGTTTCTTTTTTCTTTTTTGATGTATATGAGAACACTTCAGCCTGGCAAAGGACAAAATTTAATTTGCAAGGAAAGCAGAAAAAAGAATCTAATCTGCCTGTATGGGTTTTAATGCAAAAGCTAAGATGAAATTTTCTTGGATCACACATTAAGATTATCAGGCATATATGTCAACTTGACAAAAAAGTATTTTTCTTTAAATATGTAAAATGCATAAAGAAAGGGACCTTATGAGCAATTCAAGAACCTTTAAAATACATAGATCATCTTCCTCAAAAGAACACGTGACTTTTTCACATCTGCTTTAACACATTTAGGTACAGTTTTCAGACACTTGCAACACAATTAGGTCATATGAGTGCTGGACGATTAGAGATGTTATAAAAGAGTTTTTGTTCTTGTAAGAGTTTTACGGCACTTGTAAAAGAGCAACAAACACAAAAAAGGAGGAGGAGAGATAATGACAATAGATGTTTGATAGGAAGACGGAGCATGCCGCACCAGAGAATTCAACAACTAACCACACTTGCTTTCAAACACATAAACTTAAGTGAATAAAAGAGCAATTTAACAGCCAAACATGAGGATAATGCATTGAACATTCAGCTCATCTAAATATGATAATAATTGCATTTATATAACGCATATATCCACGCCCTACAGCATGCTCGATGTGCTTTACAACCCAACAAACCATGGAGCACTCGAAAATATTCTTGGCTTCCCGGGAAGCATACAGTGCAAGCTGCCGATTTCACACGCTCAAACATTAACAAACTGACAATATGTTTCACTGTCTATACCCAGGTACACATTTCCACCTGGATGAAGTGAGGAAAATTTGTGTGAAATGCCTTTCCCATGGACACAACATTGGGTCTCTGACAGTATTCGAACCCACTACCAACAGTTGCCAGGAATAATAGTAATAACAACAATAATAATAATAAATAATAATAATAATAATAATAATAATAATAATAATATTACTTATATTACTTATATAGCTACTTATACTGCTCTATATTTGCATTTTCTTCATACACGACGTCGTGATCCTGATATCACCTAATAAATTCATTTACTTTTGTCTAAAGCACATTGAACATTCACTGAGAGGAAAGGAGCTACAGTATTATCCGCTTATTTTGACATGCTCTGGGAAGTGGATTTGATGTTGATATATAAAATTGTCGATAAATGAAATATAAAGCCAAAGAGGAAAAAACAAGGGGAGGTCAGCAGTAAAAAGACAACACTACTTTTTAAGCTGGTTTGTTGCTTTCCTTGATTCTTACACAACTACACAGTGAAACTAACAAGAGGCAGAGGGGAGGGGGGGGAGGGTTGGAGTTACAGTACCCAAGACCGAGCAACGCGAGGCGCAAACTATACGCCAGCGCAAACTTTGTCGCAGCATCCTTGTAAGGCCTGTTTATGGTCGCTTGCTGGGGAAAATGGAAAGGCAAGGCACTGACTCACTGACCGTGGCACTTGCCAGCGACAGACTGAGAATGGGATGGGGAAGGGGAGTGAGTGATCGGGAGTGAGGGTAGGGAGGTGATGCCCAGCGCGGTAGACGCTCACGTCTGTGAGGCACTGTACTGCGTTGGAGACTACACTGTGTAAGCCCTACATGACCTACTAAAGCCAGGTGTGTCGAATAGGCTACTTGGCGAGTATGCAGACTTAATGAAGAACTAAATTGTTGACCGTTAGCTTGACTTTTTCCCCCATTTACATTAGTGGGCTTCGTCAGGTACCCAGGAAGCATGTCGATAAAGCAGAATGTGCCGAAAAAAAGTCTATACAAGAGGAATTGTTTAGTGAAGATATTGAAGGAAAAATTTCGTAATTGGAAAATATGTCGATATGTCAAAATGCCAATACATCGGCAGTCGATATAAGTGGATTATACTGTATATAAATGTTATCCTTTGCATGATTTTGTAGCTAAAGTAATAGTGGAAGCAGAAGAGCAGTTAATCAGTTATAGTAGCTATTGAAGCTATTATTATTATTATTAAAGGGGAAAAAACAGCACCACAGGAACAGTTCAACAGATGTGTGATTTCGAGTCTTCTGTGTTCAACCTATCTGTGTTATAAAGCATATATTCCTTTAAATTGGAAGCTTGAAATCTTCCATAACATCTGTATTTTTTTTTCTCCCATTCATTAAATTCCTATTGCCACGCCTTACTGAATGAGGTGTACCAAAGAAAAATATTGTGTTATACTTTGTCATGGATGTGACAGTGAACCCAAACCAAAGAGATTTCACTCATAGAAAAGATGAGTCGTAACAATATGATATTTATTTTAAGATTGAATGATAATTACTTTGGAATGTATAAGAACTGAACTCAAAACAAAAACCCCATATTCTCGCCCACCTTTGTTCTTGCTATGTTGGAGACATGGCGATACAACGGAATGCCTTGAGCAGCAGCTGCACATGCACACACAGCTTGACTGACGGCAGCTACTGCTTCACTTCCAGCAACAAACAACTCAGGCGGCCGTTCAGGAATTACATTCACAGGTGCACTGCTTTTCCCAGGTTTCCTAGAAAAAGCCAAAGAAAAAAAGTTAATCAAACAAGATATTTCTTAACTGAATAACATCAAGCAAAGGGAGGGAATGTTAAGGCCCAATATTATGGTTTTTCTCCCTATATTCACAATATCGCTTATTACAATTATAAAAATATGTTCCAACACTTTAAAAAAACAACTTCAAACACTATTTCATTAGCCCTTATCATTACAAGCATGTGCTATGAGCCATCAATACACAGATCAAATATCATAATATTGCTGATAAGCTAGCAGAAATTCTATTTACGACCTTCCGTCTGACTTATGAATACACTGAAAAATAATCAGATAAGTAAAAACAAATTTTAAAAAAGAAAGCTAAAAAGGCACAAAGTTGATCAGTTAGAAAACTTCACCTGTAACTGAAAATAAGAAAACTTAAGATTCAGTATAAAACCTTGGCTGTGTCACCTTGGGATATAATACTTCTTAGGAACCATAAGCAATACACTTTACCTATATCTTTTCCCCTTGCATAACATAACCTTTCTGCTCACAGAAGTCACACAGCTTTGTGTTGTGGCACTCGGAATTCCTGCCATGCTGTGCTCAAAACCTATACCTCTAAGCTTACAACCATCCTGTCCCATATTTTTGCTCTCAGCGGTAGCAAAACCTGTATATTCTTTCAGTTTGTCATAATTTTAGATTAAAATAAAACACCATTCTATTAAAATAATTTTTGTAATTTTTTAATCTGTGTGCCATGAGCTTCTTGTATATTGTCATATACATATGTAGCCTACATCACTAAAAGACTGCACTTCAACCCTTTCTAAATACAACATGTTTCTAAAGAATATGCCATCATACAGCTTTTTGACAATATTCCAGGTGATATGGAGAGTACAAAAAGGAAAATGTTGAGCAGAAGCATTTTTAAAGCCACACCACATGATTGTAAACCCATGCAAAACGCACATACAGACTGTCAGTAAAAGAAAAGAACTCAGTCAGAAGCACTGGAGTGTAACTGATTTTACAGAACGAATGATGATGATAACTGCTTCTTAAATTAAAGATGAAATTCAAATTACAAAACATCTAAAGACCTAGATTTTGAATATCAATTTTTGGTAACATCTCAAACTATGAATTGTGACACAATGGGGTGGAATCAGGCACTCATCAATTTTTTAGCATGTGGAGCTAGAGGTATAAACGTAAAGCTAGTTCATTTGTCTATCTTTCGATGTAATAGAAGTCCAAATATTTATGATTAAAGGAGGTAGAGGTTGCCTGGTTTCAGAAGTAAAATTAGTAACAAAATGGCTGCCAAAGTTTCATGGCTTTCAAACTTCAGAGTCCTTGATCAGTAAAAATTTACATTTTTTTGTGCCTTTAGTCAACATTTTTCCAGCAAATTTCACACATAAATATATCTTTTAATGGACATAAAAAAGTGTTGAGCCAAAAAACAAAAATTCGATAAAATTAGCCAAAGGCGCAGAAAAATCAAAGTTTCTTCGATTTTTTTAATTTGACGAGCACCTGATTTCACCATGATGCATCACAATTAGCAGTTATAAAATGATGCAAAAAGACTCTGTGAAATACATAATAATATTAAAAACAGGTGACACCTACCTCACATTCAAATTATCGATCAAAAAGACAAACCGTTTCTAGATGAGACATTATTTTTCTTTCTTTTACGTTCATTTCAAATTCTGAAAAGAATACAGCTAGCTGTGAATTTCAACTGAACTCAAAAACAACATTTTTCATGCAGCATGCAAGCTTGAAGCATGCACTGAAAAGTGCACAAAACAATTCAAAGAGAAATGTGTAAGTTTATAAAGCTAACAAAGTTACTTCACGGCCAACTGTGAACACTCTGGGCCACTTACTCTTCTTGTTTCTCCTCTTTCTTCTGTTTATCTCTAAATAAGACATATAGAATTTTTTTTATTACTATTCAATAAAATTTCAAAAAGCACTCATTTAATCAAATTCTCTGGCATACTACAATGCACGTGCTTATTGCCTGTTTTCAATTCAATTAAGCCTTTTCAATGCTCTTTTCAGACCACTCTATCAATCTATAAAATTTGCATTAACTCCATCCAAAAGATGTAAAATGAATGATGACAATTAAGCAGCACTTAGAAATTTGTTCCTACTTTAGACACAAAAATAGTGGATTTGTCAGGAAAATCTACCTTCTTGAGTCAAAGCTGCATTAACGACGGTGTATCCAAAAACAATAACCTGTAGAAATGACCACTCTCCATAACCCTCCTTGAGGTATTTTCTTTTTTACAATTACACTGTCTAAGAGCACAGTAATTACCTGTCTAAGATGACCACATTTTTCCATAACAATGGATGGTCATCTTGAACAAGTTACACTGTATTTCAGGTTACTGTAGTTTTGAAAACATTATTCACTGTAAGAAAGGAAATGAGGCACAGCCTCCAAAGAATTATGAGAGGCTGCTCAATTCCTCAAAAACTTTTATCAGGATGTTTTATTTAAGATAAACCATGATAAGACTTCCAGAACACAATCTTACTTTGCAGACTTCTTTTTATCCTTATCATCAGCAGGAGGTGGTGGTGGGGACACATCTTCCCTGTTTTGTTCTTCTTGAGCTTTTTGAGCTAAGTCCTCCTCTTTCAGTTTATCAATTACAGATCTGTGGAATAAAAGAGTAATAATATTTCACAAAGAAATACATTTTGTCAGCAATCAAAATAAGTCGCATAGAAACAGAAGAAAGCTTATTGCTTTCTCCATCTCGTTTCCATCATTAGACATCAGGGGTGATTTCTAAAAACAAAGCCTATTTTTCATTGTTACAGCAGCCTTTCTGAGTTTCACTTCTGATATAATAATAATAATAATAATAATAATCATCTTCATTTGTATAGCGCAAATCCCCGCTCAACAGCAAGCTCTATGATCTTCACAATCTATACCAACTATTACCCCAGCAGACCTAAAAGCATTCTGAAACAAACTCAACTTCCTGGGAAGCATACAGTGCAAGCTGCCATTTATGGGCACTAAAACACTAGCATACTGACAATATCTTTCGCTGTCTATATACCACAATATTAAGCTGTTTTCAAAAGGAAATCATGAATATTTAATCTAATCAGAAACTCTTCAAAGTTGGCTACCATGCAGATCCTGACAATTGATATGACTGTTTGTCTTATGCTGTTTGTGCTCATAATCACAAAGAACTTGTATACCATTGTAGACAATGGTAAAGATGCATTTTGGACAAAATCAAATTGTAAAAAAAATTATATGCAAGTCACTTTGACTGAATTTCAGGAAAATCAGAGATAGTCTCTGAACGGTCAGGCAACAATGCTTTCTTGGAAATCAAAAGTAAAGTAAGTTGTTCCTGTATCCGATCTCGACATTGGGATTTGCCTTGTTAGTGAGACAACTTCCTAGGCCTTCGGCATATTGTGGTAGGGTGACCAGTTCCTTTCCACGCCACATTTACTTCCCCAACTCGAAGTCAGGTACCCATTATGGCTGGGTTGGCAGGAGGGGGCGAAAAAAATCTGTGTTCGAACGGAAGCTCAAACCCGGACTTTCTGCTTCGGAGATGAGCGCACTAACCACTCCGCCACCGGACGCTAAACCTAAAGTAGGCAACGATAAAACCAAAAGAGGAAGTTATTATTTATCCACAAAAAAAAAGTAGAACGCACCTAACAAAAGTCCCATGAGAGTGTAGGTATCTGTGTCACTGGGAGGAAAGTGTGTCGTAAACTTTCACCCCATAGTCAGGGCTAGGAGAGAGTGAGCCCTCAGTACAGTGTTATTTTTTCCAGTCTTCTACCATTTTATAAGAAGAGCTTCATTACGGAAGAGGCGTGGGAACGGGGTCATCCTTTGCTGAGCCCTAAAGACGTTCGATTGGTTGTTAGGTTACTGTAGTTTTAAGCGGGGACAACAGTGATTGGATAAACAAGCAAGCCGCCAAGTTGATCACTCTGTGTTCATTGCGTGTGATCATAACGGTTGGTTGTTGTTGTTGTTGTTGTTGTTAGCAATCCTGTAGCATCTGAACGTTAACTCTTCTGCATGATGCCATTCGGTAATAGCTGCATGTCTGTCCTAATCGTTGTCTTGAGGAGTAGAGGCAATTAGATGTGTGGGAAAGCTTGGGAAGAAAACATCCCCTTAAATCAGTTAGTTTTCTACAGAAGAACAGATGATGCTCCACTGTCTCTGAGCAGTAGTCACAGAGTGGGCAGGCAGCAGACTGCTTTACTCCAATTCGGTTGAGATGTTGGTTGAGGGGTACAAATTGTGTTGTAAGTTGGAAGATTATGGATTGATCTCCCCTCCTCAACTCATTGATTGGATCTTTGACCAGTGGTTTATTCATGTGGCTATACATCATCCTTCCTGTCGTACCTGTGGCCCAATCATTCATCCAGTCTTCCTTGAGGTTTGACTTGATCATTTGGCAGCAGGTGGTGTAATTAGTAGGAATTTCAGGCTGAGGGAGGCTAGTTCCTTTCTTTGCCAGAGCATCAGCTCTTTTATTTCCCGGTATCCCAGTGTGGGCAGGAATCCATTGTAGGACTACTCTGACTTGGTGCCTACTTATCAAATTATGTAGACTCCAAATCAAGTGCAATATATCTTTGTTCACATCAGTCCCACTCTCAAGTGTCTCTAGTGTTGAAAGGCTGTCTGTAAAGATAACGATGTCTGTGGTAGCAAGTGGGTTAGTGTCAAACAAGTAGTTGATGTAGTTTGCTGTGTTGGTGACAGCCTGTTGTTCGGCAATGAAATTGGAGCAGAAGGACCCGCTGAAATTAAAGACTTCTTTTTTTATCCCACTGGGCAAGTTGATCACTGACCCATATCCAGCGTTGATTGCTGCCTCCATCAGTGTATGAGTGAATCCATGTTGGTGGATAGGAAATCAAAATGTTTCAAGGGCAGAATATTTTAGTGCTACAGGATATGTGTTTTTACTGCTCTTGTCCAAAAGTTTTTTCCTAATTTCTGGCTTTGCTATGGTGAGAGGTGGTGAAAGAGTTGAGGGAACTCTTTCCAGAGGTTCTCGTCTTTCACGGAGGTGATGTTTTTCTTGGAGATTTTGTAATTTTTAGTCTTTGATTAGGTTTCCACTTGTCAACGAGAATTCTATTTGGGTGGTTATTTTCTAGCTTTTTAGATCTTTCATATACTTCTAAAGCTGCCCTTTTTCTTGTAGTTTCTAAAGGCTCAAAATTTGTGTGGATTTCACGGCCGCAGTCGGTGAGGATCTCATTCTGTCAGAGATAAAACGAAGAGCTTGGTTTTGGATGGTGTCCATTGAGTTCTTTGTAGTTTTACTGCAAATGTTTTGTAGAACAAGATTATAATAAAAAACAGCTCTAGTATATCCTAAATAGAGGCCTTTCAAGGTGTTCTTGTCTGATCCCCAGTTGGTACTGGCTAGTCGTTTGATGAGATTAAGTCTCTTCATAGCCCTCTTCCTGAGGTTGTTGGTGTGTTGTTTCAGGTTGAGCTTGCTGTCAAGTTGTACTCCAAAATACACTGGGTTATTCTCCTTTTTCAAGTTGGTACCATCTATTTTGCTAGGGATTTCTGCATTTGCAAGGTTATAGCTTCATAACGGTTTCAACTGCTTATTTCATTAGTTAAGATACTTTCATTTGCTTTGTGATAGAGTTGAGGGGGTAGGGGGGAGGGCTCAA